TACCATATCTTCTTTATACAATCATCTATTGATGGACACTTTAGTGCTTCCAAATCTTGGCTATTGTATATAATGCAGCAACGTAAGAGGATGTTTCTTAATGTTGCATAAATCCATATTCATAAGGCCTACTGCCTTCAAGATTTTATAAATTACAAGTATATCTATTTTAAGGCAATATTTTCTGAGTTCTCAAGATTCTATTCAAAATAATTTTTATATGAGGGCTTCCAATCACTTCACTATCAATTATGATTTCTCTGGAAGTTTTCCAGCTTTATTTTCTTCTTTTTGAAGCAAACCCAATTCTTCCAGTATATACGATGGCTTTAAACAGGAGAAAAATGATGTGCTTGATTTTATTTCTAAAACCTTTATGGATGCTATTCAATAATTTATTGAATATGCAGATTATAAGCAAGTTATTGGCCAATGATTTAAGAAATAATCATCAATTCCAAGTTCCTTATTATAATGAAATATAATTAAGATTAGTTTCTCTAAAATGTATTGATTTACCAAATACACATGAAGATCTTGCTATGTACAAGGCACCACTGAAGCAGAGAGTAGCTTGAAAGAGCTAATAATCGAGTCAAGAAACACCATGAATATACTTAACAAAGGGAATATCAGATAAATCGTTTTGCTTTCTCTGTTCATTGGGTTTAGTATTATAAACAACATCAAATGTATTTGTTTTCCTAAGTTTTATCATTCTTGACTGGGGTCAAAAATAAATCTTTTTTTTTATCTAACATTTTCTTTAATCAGTTGCCCTCTACCAATGGTTGTTTCAATTAAACAACTATTACATAATTTAGGTTAAAAGAAGGAAGAGGAGAAAGGTATCATGAAGGAGAAAAACCACTGAGGAATTTTATCTAAGGGTTATTAACGGTTTTACTATTATTAGTTCAATGATTAAAGTACTGTGGTAAAAGTAGCTGAATTATAGACTCCCAAATATATTTTAATGCCTGCTCAGATTCAGAGAGTTGAACGGCAAACTACTTCTTATTTTATGAGTAATTTTTTTACTAATACATGGATTCACCTTTACCAGGTGGAGTGTTTCACGTGACATAATATCTGTAATAAAGCTGACAAGCCCTTTTCCCACAAGTTTTCTCAATAGCAAGTTGAGGTTCAATAACTTGTTAAGTTTTGGTAAACCAACAATGCATTATGGTAATATAAAGTAAATATTCACTTAACTCAATAAAATAACTCTTCAATTTAATTTTTATATCAGTCACATATCGAAGCCAGAATAAGAATAAACAAACAGCTAAAAGAAATGCAGTCTAACCCAATAAAACAAATAGGATATATCCTACTTATTTTTCAACATTTGACTTTAAAGCAATGTGCAGGTTCAACAAATCATATAAGTTTTACAAACAGCTTCCAAAGCAGAGACTCAAAATATGAAGTGAAAAATCAGATAAAACCACCCCCAAAGAGAAAGAACATGAATTCTTTCATTGGTAAGGTATGTATTTCTAGTCCTCAAATGTCTGAGAGTGCTTCATTAATTTCACTAAAGAAACGAGGCTTGAACATCCTGGAGTAAAAGGAGAGGATAAAATTTTTTAAAGTAAACACTAAAATTATTTGAATTCGTCAGGAGAAGAGAAAGGATACATAGACATGACAGAAATAGGAGGAAAATTAATAATCGATTATTGCTTGCTCACTGTGTGCCAGTTAATGATGCTAAGTAATCAACATCCATTAGATTCTCATACTGATGGCCTAAGGTCAGTATGCTCAGCATTTTACATATTAGAAAACTGAAGTTCAGAGGAAAATGTCAGGACAGAAAACTAAAGAGCTAGGACTTGAACTTGAGCATCTCTTACTCTATAGACAATGTTCTTAACCACTACCTTATTACACTACCTATTTACAAGCAAAAAGTAGAAAGTATTCACTCTTTTAACTTTTGGTGGTTTCATATTTTGAAATAATTGGAAGAATACTCAGGAATTGCAAGAATAGGAAAAGAAAGAGAATAACTAAACAAAAGTGATAATATGTTACCAATTGGGGAACCTGGGAGGAGGAGATACTGAAGTTCCTTTTACTATTCTTGCAACTTTAGATAGGTTTGAAATTATTTCCAATTTAAAAGTCACAAAAAATTAAAAGTATGTACCTTCATACATATATTTTTTTCTTTAATCAGAATCATCAGAGAGTAAGTTTGCAGACATGATGTCCCATTACGTCAAGATACTTCAATGTGTATTTCCTCAGAACAAGAACATTCTCTTTCATAACCAAGTATAGTTGCCAAAATCAGAGAACTAATATTGATGTAATACTATTATCAAACCTACAGATATGATTCAAAATTCACCCACTATCTTGATAATGTCCAAGAATAGAGCCAAGAAATAATATAATCCAGGATCACATATTATATTTAGCTGCCCTATCTCTTTAATCTCCTTTAATCTGCAACAGTTCTCTATTTTCTTTGTCTTTCACAACCATCTCATGACAAGCCATTACTCTGTAGAAAGTCCCCCAGTTTTATTTCTGTATGATATTTCCTCATGATTAGATTTAGACTACGCATTTTTGGTTAAAATCCCACAAGAGTGACGCTGTGTCTATTTTAGCATCAGATTATTCCAGCATGTCTCATTACTGATCACTTCTTAGGTGGTTTCTATCAGGTTTCTCCACTGTAATCTACTCATTTTCCTCTTTATAAGTAATATATAATTTGTGGGGAGTTACTTTGAAACTATGTAGATATCTTGCTCTTCACCAAATTGTCACACAATAGTTTTGATAATTTTACCTGAACTAAATATCATCTTGATGGTTCTGGGAACATACTTGTTTGACGCTGTGAAAAAAATGCAAATATCTCATGTAGACATGTGTAAAGATTCATTTTTAAAACCGTTAAGTTTTAAAATGGGGAGTACTTAAAAAGTATGCTAATGATTCATGTTTTTGCAAGACATTTCAGCTAGCTTATAATGCTTTTGTTTTGTAAAGTGACAGTATTCCAATATCCTTAAAATTGGATATAAAATTTCAACATATAATTTTACTGCTTTAAAAAACATTTATACATCAACCAGGAATCATAAGTGTGAAAAAATGGACTTTGGGGAATTTGACTCTTTCTAATAAGTTTTCATGACTTACAAAATTGCTCAATCCATGAGGATCAGTGAAACCAAATGTGCCGTAAAACATGGGAGGCAGGTTGTGATGCTCATAAGGCTTCCGAAATCCCTCCAGTAAACCAAACTCGTGCCAGAGTTAGCACAAAGTATAGAGTAAATTATGGCTATACATGTGCTGGGCAGGTGGGAGTAGGAACCACTACAATATTTTTTTCTTTTTACCATAAGCCTCTGAAATGTGTTGCTTCCTTCCTGCTAACAGAGTAAATGAAAGACAAATTAATTTTGCATAATAAAACATAAGTATTCAAATGTGTTTAGACACTATCACTGCTAAAATCACACAGAGCTCTGTTGAAAATTTTTAGATGAAAGCACATATGATTAAACCTTACAATTTATACATTTAGATGTTTTCATTTTAGTTGCTATTAATATTATATATTGTTCTTGCTAATTAAAAATTTCCAGTTTTAAGCTTAGAGTAAATTAAATGTCCTACTTTGGTAAAGTTAGATGAGAAATTTGGTCATGAGGATGAAAGATGTTAAGAAAAGATGGCAAATTCAACACATCATCTACTTTCTCTACATCTTTACAGTCTATTATAAACAGCAGAAAAGGAATTGTTAACGGTAAAAACCCATGACACTGGGGGAAAACAGAAAGGAGAAACACCAATAAAACCCTAAATTCAGAAAGCAACTAGATCCATAAATGACTTCGCTAACCTAAAAAATTTTTATTAAAAGCCTGTCATAAGATGAAAACCACCTCTGTTTATACAACAGAGTATCTCTTAGATATTCCCAATTTTGTTGTAATTGTAACTCTTTATTGTGATTACTTTTTTTTTACTTACCTATCTCCTGTACTGGGATCATGACATAGGGAATAGGGTTTAATTTTTTTGTATAACATTCAGTGCTTAATCACCACTTGCTAGATACAAATTAGGTGCTCAAAACATGTTTATGGGACTAATGAAATCATATTAATTTTATTATAATTGCTTTCTCTTGCTCATTCAATGCACCCTGTGAACTGGACACTGACTACTCTTAGATCATAGAATATATGCTCAGCGGGATACCCTTGAACAAATGATCTTATTTGAAAAGCCTAATTTTGAAGACTGCAATACACTTTTGGTAAGCATACTCTAACAAAGGGTAAACTGTCAGTAAATTGTTGTATAAAAACTCATTGTTTTTAATGAAATAAAAAACAAGAAAAATGAAATGACCAATGTAATAAAACAAACAGAAACTAGGAAAGATACAATCAAGTATAAGGAAGATATAATAAGGCAGATGTCATTAACATTATAAAGACTGTATTCCAATTCTTCCAGGATTTTTTTTTTTTTTTTGCCAAAACAAAAAGATAAGAAATAGCAGAGATTTTAACATACAAGGCATTGCAGGGAGCTGAAAAGGGAGGAGAAAATAGTTGTTTGGTGCATTTAAGAGTAAAAATAGATTATGCCAAGTGAAGTTGTTGACAAGGATAGTTTTTACAATTAGATTAAGAAAAATTTCTTGATCAGAAAAATTGATTTTTTTATTTCAGAAAATGGCAAGTAAATTTCTGAGAATAGATATCCGTCAATGCTGGAAAGAGCTTTTTTCTCAAATAACACAGAATACAAGGACAAAGAGTGTATTTGCCACAGGACCTCAAGCTCTTTGTCTTTTTTTAGCTTATTTGTTTGTATTTGCCTTACTCTTGATTAATAGGCTTTGTGAATTAATTCTCTTAGGTCAATCCCATTACTGGTTCAGAGCTATTTCTGCTAAGGTCATCAATATCCAGGGACCTTAATTCTGAGCTTGCCCCTGTCCTGTCCGAGCTTGAGAGGAGTTCAGTAGACAGAGGTTCTCATCCCCTGCACAGAATCAAGGACTCCAGACACAACCAAACTGTGAGTCTGCGGGCAGTCACCTTGATATTATAATTTTTAAAAATTTACCTTAGAGGAAAGAGTAACTATTTCACTATTTATACTTCTAAGTAACATTAAGTAACGATTTATCTCCCGTAAAGACAACTACTGTGTATCTTTTCCTGTTAAGGGAATTTGCACTTAATGTGAATTTGGAGTAAACAAACAATTTTCAGTCTGACATTCTAGACAGTTAAAACAAAACTATGACTAGATTCATTTTCAAATATTGAATTTTTTGGCACTCCCTTTGAGTGAAGGGACAATGTAAGGAAAAGTGATGAATCCTTGCACTTTGTATTTGAAGATTTGACTCCCAAGATGTGAAAGGGAGTTTACGTTCTACGCTGAGGTACTGCAGCATCTCTGAGCCAGACGCTAACCAATTGTGTGTTCTTGGACTTTTTCTTTAATATTATTTTTTTGTCATTTTTAAAAATCTTTAAAGTGGGGATAAAAATGTTTGTTTCAGGAGGCTACTTCAACAATGTAACGACCCATGCTGTAAAAGAAAAGAATACAGGAAACTTGTGGATATTGTTAAATTAGTTGAAATTTTTCTTTCAGTTGGATTTATTTTTCTTCTATTTTGCTCCTGTAGAGGTGATTATTATCACTAATAAACTTTAAGGTTTGCATCATTAAAATGAATGCAGGTTCACCCATTGTTTTGCCATCGATTATTTTTATTAGCTGCAAAAATAGCTTGTAACTAGAGCACCCATTTTAAATTAAATATATATATATATTTGACCATTATACATATCACTTTGAATCACGTAACATTAAAGCTGAAAAAAATTTTAAAGATCATCTAACTTGTTGTGGCAAATTTTTGCCTAAATATTATGTTTATAAACTGGATTTGATACTGTAAAATTACTGCTAAAGTATATATGAACCCCACTCATGATAATGTCTATAATGGAATTGAAACAGTATGTGCTAGAATAAATATATTAAGAAGATACAGAGATATTCAGAAAAAGATGTTTGCTCTGAATTTCCTGCCAGATTCTGACAACTTTATTTTCTTCAGAACAAGTAAGAAAATATAGGTATGTAGTAAGAGCAAACCTAGATGGGTCGATGTGTTTTTCCATTATTAGAAGCAAAAATCAGTTATAATTTGAAAGCTCATACTTGCCCAGAATATTTTTTACTGATGAATCCTGAAATATAAATTGTTTAAAAGGCTCCCTACATGCCCTATCTGCTAGTTTCATTTGTTGAAAAGACAAACCTGTTTGGAAGGGTAGAGACAGAGGTACCTGCTGGGCATTGATATCTGATCTGCATTGTCTTATATCAAAGTTTCTATCACAGTTCCACAGTTGTTCTCTTTAAGTTATTATGAACTTTAGATACTAGATAAAGGAAGGGATGTTTCCATAGCATCAAGGTGTGTGTTTTATATGTAAGGGAAAGAAAACTAACATTTGTTTAGAGCCAATCATTTCCTTAGCATTTATTCATTACAGCCATTTTGAGGATGGTGTGTCCTATATTCCACTCATGCTTCTGGGGATTTATTTTTAAAGAGAATTCTCATTATGATACAAAAATGTAAAAGTTAGCCTACCCAAAAGTAACAACTAGAATGACTAAAGGTGGCAACAGAAATCCTAACTGTTGTTACTATTTTTAGAAAAAGAGAATGAAATTCAGAAAATATATGTAAACTACTATGACGCAAACACTAAAAGGAAAACCAAAAAGAAAATCATTTATGATTTGTAAAATCAGAGGTAGAGAAGTCAAGTCATTGGAAAACAAGTGTGTTAAATTCAAATTTAAATCATCATCTCCCATTTTTCACTTATGCATACATCTTCAGAAAAATCTTATTACTATTATTTTCCAGGCAATTTCAAATACATTTTATCAGCCTGTATTTCAAGATACCAAGTTAATCTCCCCTTCAGGTTTCACATTCTTAAATGGCTTATGACAAACATCTTACTAGAAGTGTATCAAAGTGTCATAATAAAGAACTATAGTTATAATGACATAGGAGACTATAAAACAGCTTTGAGATAAATGTACAATATGTGTGTGATTATGCAGAGTGTATATGTTCTTTGGGTAGGGGAGATAAATACATTTCACATCATTTAATCCTCACTCAGTCTTTTCAAGTGGACCCGATTGTTACTCCAATTTTATAGATAAGAAAACTAAAGCACAGAGAGTTTTAGTGATTTGCTCAAGGTCACATTGCCAATAAACTAGTAGAGCTATATTTGAACCCAAGTGTCATGTGTTTATGTGTTAATCATTATGCTGTGTTGTTACTTGGAAACACTGTAATGCCTGGTTCCTGCCCACAAGAAGCTTAGTTCCTCCACAGGGAGGAAGACATGATGTAGAAATTAATCAATTACAGAGTAATTTAAGCAGTTGGTATATTATGAGGCATAACATTTCCTCTATAAGATATTAAACTTAACACCACATCACTCCTACTCAAAATCTCTAGTTCTCAAAGTCAATACATAAAATAGTGGGCTAGGGTAGAGAAAGAGGGAATTATGGCTTGAGTGAAATCATTAGAGCTACTTTATGATTTCAGAGATAACAGGTCTCAACAAGTCCAGTAATAACTCCCATGATCTGACATGATGCTGTCAGACCTATTTGATGTGAAATTCCACCACCAATCACATTTTTTTTAATAATAAGAAAAAGCAGAACTGTTTTCTATAGGAGTACAATATGACATTGGGGAAGACAGTCATGACAGGCGTTAAAAGATCCGACATTAATATACTGGCATTAGTGAGAATATTAGCCTGGCTTAGTTGATCAGATTAACTCACAGTCACCTTGGAAAACACAGGAGAGCAGAGACCTACAGAGATGTATAATCAGAGGTGGAAAAGGGCAGAACATGAAGCCATGTAAGGGTGAGCAACATACAGTATGATACTCTAATAAACACATATCAAGACACAGACTCTAGGTTTCTATCAAAAGTAAAGGTGAAACAGAATTTCTAAATATGTCCCACCTGGCAGTTTTGCTTGGTTTCACCCATCTACTAACACAGTAGTGTGCCTGTCTATCTAAAGTGTATCTATCTTAAGATAGATAATTTGTTAAATTCTACTTTAGTTGAGTTAAAGAATTATTTTGATCAGGCACTTTAGTACTTGATTCCCAGTCATTTATTTATATCTTATGGTTAATCATGTTCAGATATAATTATACCATTTTTAATACAACACCTTTTCTGAAACAGCTTCTTATTCCATGTGTATCCAAAAGGGAACATATGCATTCATGTGTAAGACAGAAGGATGGTTATTTATTTTAAATTGCACAACAACAAAAAAATTATCTTATATTGGAAATTTTACATTAGAGCTACTTCAGTACTCTATATTTTCTGCATTTCTATGCTCATGGAAAGATGCCATGTATGTCTTAGGTAGAGAGGTAATTTTAATGTTTGGTTGTTTAACCTCTTTACTCTGTACTTAAGGAAATCAGTATCAGCAAATAGCAACTAAAATCTTAAATTTCAATGAAATAAATAAAGGAATGAAGGCTCATTTATTCAGCCCTACTAACTAAAATGGAATGTTTCTACTGAGATACTTTTTCCCTGGCATTTATGCCTTTCATTTCTCAACTAGAAACTAATAGTTATTGAAATGCTCAAGCAATTTTTTTCCTCTATGTGGAAATTGCTGCTATACAATGTATTCTTAGATGCATTAGTAGTTAACTTGATCTGAACAAGACTAAGGTGAGCCCATACAACGTATCTATATATCACTCTTCTGATTTACTCTCTTAAAGCAATACTCCAGATTCTATTGCAGTTAATATGGAACACCAATATTTTCTTTGGGGAATCAGAACAACCCAGAGACTGGGCAAGGAAATAATTGACATTGTATTATCTGACATACAGGGTCATCCTGGCCTATATTTTTGTAGGAACTTCTGTGGCATCCCAGGAATATGGAACCAGAAGCAGGGAAAGAACTAGTGAAGAATCTAAAAAATGGACAAGTTAATTGTAGGTGTGTTTCATTTCCCTAACTGCAATTCTTATAGGATAGATGGGGAACCCTGGGAAATTCAGAGGCTCCAAAGCTTTAGATCCCACTACTTGAAAATCTGTTAGTAAACTACAGTAGCTAGTATTAAAAGCAAAGCTCTTCTGGAACACTCAGAATCTACAAGTCAATTCTAAATTGATAGTCTCTTTTTCCTCTACCCACCCAACCACTAAACTAGATATTCTGATTAGATTAGATCAACATATTTTAAGTGATTAACAATCACTTAAACGTCATCATGGTATCATGTGAACAGGATAATGATGCAAATGAAATATTTGGGGGTAGATTTGAGTTTTTTAAAGGAGACTTTTAAAACTAATGTTTAAGTATCATACTTCCTTCCTATTCTAGTTCATCATTATTATGTGCGAAACAGGAACTACAAGACAGTTGAACTGGTACTCGGAAGGTGCTTAGATGCTTTACGTTTTAAATTGTCTCACTTTATTTCTCAGTAATTACTAAGCCATGGTTGGGAGTTTTGAGGACAAAGTTTGAGAAATGTTATCCTACATAAGCCATTACTTTAAAGTATCATTAAACCCCTAAACTAAAAGGAAAATAAAACCCTAACTTGGTAGAATTACATTTTAAACTATATTTCTCACCAATATTAACTTTTCACTTTTGGAGAGTTTTGTAGAACCCTTTTAAATGAATGATCTTCTGTCAAAGGTCATCCAAATATAACTTTTACTTAACACAGACTTTATTTGAAACATAAATTATAACTGTCTAAAATAAAAAAGGAACAACATCACAGATTTTCATACAGATAAGTTGGAAAATATAGTAACTCTTGAACCACGGTAAAACTTGGTGAAGGTAGCAAATTTTTGTCTTTCTAGCCCTACATCATCACCAATTTCCATTCACACACAGATGTTTTTCCCAAAGTCTTATAAATAATCCTACTGCTATTTTAAATCCTTTAGCCTAAAGCAGACTTGGAATTTTTTAACCACTGATAATACCATTGCAAACCAAATGTTGATCGTATTTTTTAATGACTGTTACATTGTACATACAAACATAAATGATAGATTTTTGTTTTATTTTATAGACTCAAACAGCACTTACTATGTGTCAGGATCTAAGCACCTTCCAATTAATTTTAGGCTAAATCAATTAATGTTAAGATAATAATGCAAATTTTGTAAAAGGTAAGTTATTTGAGATAATCAGAAAACCCCAGAGTGAAGTGATAGCAGGGGATATTCATAGGAGTGTAGATCAAATACATGAATAGCTAATTATACTCAATCTGTGTCCTCCTCTAAAGAGCCTTCAAGCAGTACAAGCAAATATACTTCATGTCTCAATATTTTTCTTCCAGTTTCCATCTCTGTTCACTGGTTCCCCTACTAGCGAGCAGTAGTAAATTTCACCAGCCTTTTGTACTGTAACTCAAATGGAGACACTAGGTAAGAATGGACTCTGTCCTTTACTAAATAAGCATTCCAGAGTACTTAAGTCTTAGTATTTGTTAGTGCCATACGGGAAGAGTTTTGTTCTTCAAATAATTCAGAGCCCAAGGAGATGCCTGGCATATAGTCTATTCTTAACATATACTAATTCAACCAATGAATCAGGCTTTTCCCAGGTGATGGGGTTTTCTTTTCAATAAAAAGATTCTTTGAAATTGGTCAAGCACCTTTTGAAAATGAAATTTCTTTTCTCTTTCACTGGATTGCCAATTTGCCAGAAGCAAGTTAAGAAGCAAGCTATGCTTCTGTCTCTTCAACGTTTGAAATAAAATTATTTTTTTATTTTCTTAAATGTTGTGTGTATTTATTGGAATTGCTACTCCAAATTAACCATCTACTCTCTCAAAATAAAAGAGTTTGAATTGAGTATCTGCTTTTCTGGAGATTGAAAAGCTACTAAAGTTATCAAATAAGCTCTCATTACTTTTCTCTGTAAGTGTTCTTTTGAAGTAAACTAATAAAATTCATTTTTCTTAGATGCAAAAATTATTTTTAAATAATTGCAGTAATTAGCTTCTTTTTGCCAACATTTACTTATTTTCATTTTCCCTTATTCCCATTTTCCTTTATTCCTTTTCATTATTTAATCCACTCAAATTTAATATTCTTTCTTACATTTATAGTTATGTATGTATTACAGAATGAATTGGTATTCCCTTGACAGCTTTCTCTTAAAAGCCTTTTCTCACTCAAGTAGGTGAAATCAAATTGGCAAAAACCTTTGACCTCCAGTGATTCTGGGTAGGGATAGTACTGAGGAAACAATACAATTATGAGGCCAGTCCATATGTTGGAAGCAGAAGCCAAAGCAAAAGGAATCAAGACAAAGAGTTCAGGATTACCATTTTGTGCCTTGGGAAAGCGTCAACCAGAACAAGTCTGATGCTGACATATAATCAGTAAAAAACTAAGATGGGACCAAAGCATAAGCATGATAACATTGCTTAAAACTGACTTTGAATGAAAGACGCAAAATGGAGAAGATAGAGGAAAAAGAAAGAATAAAAAGTATATCCACTGTATATCCTCCCTAACCTGAAAATTTCAAGAAAAATCACAGCTATATGGACCGCTTAGGGAATGTATTAGTATATATATATATAATAATAGTATTTTCCAGATAATGAAAAGATAAATAAGCAAATAGGTTGGATTTGAGTTGGAACTAAGAATAAATAGGTTCTACATGAGGGCATCACGGAGTTTCCTATGAATAAAACTCCACGTGATATAGTGGAGTTTTCAGCATATTTTAGTTTCTTAAATTCTGTAGGCATAGTCATTGGTTATTTTCATTCCCTTGGTGGGTAACATCACCAAACTGGCTTTACGGTAAGGAGAGATGTTACGGTGTTGGGTTTTCAACAGCACTGTTCTTGATGTCATCATTCTTTAATGCCAATTCGTAAGTTGGATTTGTCAAGCCATATGGGGAACAACTCCACTACAGTATATTAATATGTTAACTTCTGTAATAGCGTGATGGTTTAAGATTTAACTCACAATCAGATCTAGGTTCAAATCCTTGTGAACCTGGGCACAGAACTGAAACTCCCTTTCAGCTTCCTCAGTTGTAAAATGGCATTAACAATTGTCCCTGTCACATGAGCCTGTGTGAGAATTATGATTTTTATACATGAAATAATTGGAACAATGTCTGGCATATAGTAAGTGTTCATAGTATATAAGAATATAATTATTTATTAAAACATTTTTATTATATAAAATATTGGGATATAATTTTATGAAATTTGATAAGCAGTAGTAAAAACTGTTTTTTTATTTGGACATAAGGATGTTTGGACATACGGATTTTATATCCAAATATCTTTAGCAGCATAAGTATTAAGTTGATGCTTTGTACAAAGAAGACTAAAATGTCCTACCCTTAACCTACCATGTAACCTGCCGTAGGAGTGTGTGTCTATTCTAGAATTCTTCTGTAATCATTACTTATTTGTTCATTCTCTAGATTATATCAAATCTAATCCCTACAATGGAAGAAGCCAAAAGCCAGAGTTTGGAGGAAGACTTTGAAGGACAGGCCACACATACAGGTAAGAAAAGTCAAAAGGAAAAAAAGCAATGAATTAAAATTGAATCTGGAGATCTGTAATGTTCTTATTGCCGTTAAGTATGAAATTTAAGTAACACCTCTGAATGGTTTGCTGGAATCATCTGAAAAGTGTTTGAGTGAGTAAATAAATGTGAAGTCCAATACTCTGTAAACAGTTTTAAGAATGAGAAAAACACAAATTATTGTGAATTCCTTTCTGCCCAAATACCATTTTTTATAAGACCTCTCTAGCTACACTGTAATTATGCTACTTTATTCTCTCCTAATTTCCCCCACTATGGACTTTCCTTGAAATTATAAACAGTAGTAGACCAAAAGGTCAATAAATGGATTTTTTAATTTTAATTTTTTCAATATGAAAAAAATAAAGAAAGATAAAACATTCTTAAGTCAAGTGAATTTCAATATTCCTCCAGAAAACCTAAGATTTCAATTCACTTGATCCAAAGCCTGTTGTCTTAATCTGATAAATACCGTGTGGTTGTCTATATGCACCTTTGAGTTTAAAAGTCAAAGAGCCTGGCTCAAATTTTAAAATTCAGGGTTTTTTTTTCTCTATTGAATCTTATTTGACTAATATTTTGCTCTCTTTTTTAAGAATATGAATTGGAGCCTTTAAATTTAGACAGAAGTTACAATTAATTCACGTGGGTCCTACACAAAAAGGCATGGGGAATTCATTTTATAAAGGCAATCTGAAGAATACGTTTCTAAGTATGATACAAAACCAAGAAACCAGAAAGGAAGATTGACAAAGTTTGCTACAGAAATGAGGGAAAAGAAGGAAGAAAGGGAGGAAGGAAGGCAAGCAAGCAGGAAGGAAGGAAGGGGAGTGGAGATGGGGGAGAAGAGGGGAGGGGGGAGGGAGGGAAAAGGACGGAGGGAGGGAGGGAGGGAATGCGTATTGTCTGGCAGAAGTCACCAGAAGCAAAATCCAAAAAGATACTTAACAAATTGGGGGAAAACATTTAAAACTCAATCGGCAAAGTGTTAATTTCCTAATGTGTACTGGAAGTGCCTACAGATTAGTAAGAAAAAAAAACAACAATGAAAGGGAGAAATGGGCCAAAGATGGGAGAGATTATCCAGGAGGAGAAGAAGCGCACTTATGAAAGCAGTACTATTGCAAAGTACATTCTTTTTAACACAGTTTTTAAAAGCGAAAAAAGTTTAATAACACACTTTAGAAAGAGGTATACTCATATATTATTGGTAGGAGTGTAAACTGCTACATGCTATTTAAGGGCATAGCAATATCAAAATTAGAAATGTACAGGAATAAGTTAATTTTAAAATTACATAAGTAAATAATTAGGAAACGTGGGAGATAGAGAATATAACCACATATATAAAAAAATACTCGAAGTATAGATACAGCTAAGCTTTAGGGAAGGATATGTAAAACTGTGTATATTCCAGAATTTAGACTTTCTTCCAAGTACTCATTATTCATCAGGGAAGCTGAGTATCAGAATTTCACTTACATTGTTTTTTACTTAATCTCTTAAATCTGTGAAACCCATTTTTCTATATTTGTAAAAGATTCTTAGAATCTTAGAAGGAATTGGGTAGTTATGCAATTATTTTCTTAAAGTTATTTTAGTTCTGTTAATTGAAGTCAGGCCTCTCCCTCACTAGCTGTCTTTTATGTTATTGTTGTTGTTTTCTGGATCTTGGTAACACTTCAGTTTGTTTCCCCAAGAATCTAATTTTTTTTTGTTAGTAGTGTGGTGCCAATTTTAGTTTAATACTAAAACTTCTTTCTTACTTAATAAAAGTGTTATTTTTCTAAAATTCTAGTTTCCCTATCTAAAATACCCCAATTTTAAAAATACTTTATGCCCAATTTTTGTCAGTAGTTCAAAGTGTATAATTTGTGTTTGAATTGATGCAGATGTTTCAGAAAGATTCTCAGCCAAAACCCATTTAATAAGATTAATGTGGGAGATCATTTTTACGAGCAGCGAGTCAGAAGTTTCTAGCCCAAGCAAGATGTTTGTTTCTAATGCAGAAGATGACAAATATATTCCCATGGTGATACTTACACAAATTTAAATTATGTGAACAATACTTCTGAAAATATAAAGGGAAACTATTTGTTTTTAATTTTTCTCAGGACCCAAAGGAGTAATAAATGATTGGAGAAAGTTTAAACTAGAAAGTGAAGATAATGACTCAGTCCCGCCCAGCAAGAAGGAAATTCTCAGACAAATGTCTTCTCCTCAGAGTAGAGATAACAAGGACTCAAAGGAGGGATTCAGCAGAAAGGTAAGATAAGGACCAATCGATAATAAATAACCTACTATGTGTTTTTAGTCTAAGTGACTCTAAAGGATCACGTTAAAAATATTATAGAATACAGATATATTTCCAAAGTAATTATTACAATATTGATTGTATTGGGGAAAAAAAGAGGACAGAAGTGAATGACTATGCAAGCATTCCATACAGATAATACGTGGCAGCTATTAAAAGAATGATTCACAAATACATGATTTGACTGAGAGGCAGTTCCACAATATGAGAAAGCAAGATATAGACAATTTTAAGTTATATGATCCCACTCTCTAATGGGAAAAAAATAACACTGTTCATGTTTTTATTCTTATGTGATTATATGAGAGTGTATGTAGAAAAGTATGGAAAGACACTCACCAAGTTGACAGTGTTGGTTATTTGGAAGGGTGGGATTGCTTAAGAGTTCTCAACTTCCCCTTTCTGAGGAGGAGGAGAAGCTAAGTGAATAAGCCACACATTTTTTTTCAAGTACCCATTACTTTTTTTAAGCAGCATTAAAAAAAACTCATTTATTTACTTGTTATATAATGTGTATGTCTAGGTGCATAATGAGATACATTAAAAGATGATCTCTAAAATGTTCATGGTGATTATCTCAAAGTATGAGAGAGGTGAAATTTCATATTTATTACTTCCTTTAGCTTTTAGGTCATTTTTAACTGTTGTAGTTGGCATGTATTATTTCAATAACAACAACAATAATATTAATAAATAAACCATAAAGTGGTTTCCATTGTGGGGAAAAAAATCACTTCAGTGGATTATTTATCTCCAAACCAGTGTATACAAGTTACTGTATATTGATTCAAAAGAGACTGTGCATCAGAAATATACTTTGCTCTAGACTTCTGGCCATGGTAAAAATCGTGTAAGTCTGAGATCTTGTTTTCAGGTTTTGGTTCCTTCACTGGGTCACTGTGTGGTGGGATGAAATAATTCAATTTTCCCAACAGAGGAATGGTAACAGGACCTGGAGGAACTGGAACTCAGACAACACCTCCCTCCCTTGTTTTAAAACAATGTGGAGAGAAAATAAACATGAAAGTGTTTTGATACATGGAAAATGCTATACAAATGTGTCACATCACAATTATTAAAGATGTTATACTAAGGTTAAGCTTCAGAAATGTATCTGCGTGCCTACATATCCACACGCCTGACTATGTGAATGGAACAAGTTCTCTGAAGAATGCAAATGTAAATCAGTCTTTGTGTGGATCCATCAGTTAAATTAACAGAACTATGGTAGCAACTTAAAAATTATACCAAACATGTAACAATTTTAAGGGTTAAAATAAAATTAAGTTGAGACAATAGTCTTAAAGCAGAAAGAAACATGAATAAAAGAAGGAATGAGGACATTAGAAAAACAAATACAAGAGACAGAAACAAGAGAAGGAAGTATGGAAAGCACCAGCTACTTCTACGTAATCTGAATCTCAGTACCTTCTTGAAAATGAGTAATAATAGTGACCTCTGAGGTTTGTTGTGAGAAGTAAAATAATGTATAAAAATGCCGAAGACAGTAGATTCTCCAAAAATGCTAGGTTCTCGCCTTCTCCATGCTCCTCTACTCTTAAAAATTGTCCGCAGTTGCTGTTTGAGAGGCTCCTTCATGACAAAGCAGCAGTGGTGAGCCCCCTTGGGAGCTGTCCGACCCCATGGTTCCGGGATGCTCCCTGTCTCTTTATCACGATATTTCCCATCAGCAATTTGTGTGTGGAGGATGTGGGGGGTAAGAATGGGTGTTTAATACTCTATTTAATAAGTTAATAATGGTGTAGCTATTAAGAAAGGCTCTGAAGGTAATTTCATAGTCCAGCTGTAGCAAAAAGGAGCTGTCTTAAAGTAGGGACTCTGTGGCATCTTACTGCACTGATGGACAGTGACTGCAATGGGGTATGGCAGGGACTCGATAATAAGGGGGAATGTAGTAACCACATTGTTTTTCTTGTGAAGCCTTCATAAGATTGTTTATCAATGATACCTTAATAAAAAAAAAAACAGTAGCTGTCTTAGAAGATGGAAGTTAGGTCTTCTCTCACTTTAGCCTAAACTAGTGGGGGCTTGTTTAAACATGGCTCCCTCAGCCTCACCCTTACAGATTCTGATTCAATAGCTCTAGGGTGGTGCCCGAAAATTTGCATTTCCCAGAACTTCTCCCATGATAATGTTGCTGGTCCATCATTAACCTCTTGAATAATCTGATGAACTCCAAACAGTAGTAAAAGCCATCTTGCTTAAATTCTATCCTACATATTCCAAAAAAATCAAGTGTGATAAAAGGATAATAGACTTTCTTTTTACAACTTCCTTGGAGGAAATGCTAATATCCAAAGGCATTTTCTGGGGACACATTTAAATGTGTGTGTGTGTGTTAATGAAATTTCCTCCAGAGTAGGCCTTGCTAGGGGTTTTTTCAACCAAAGTGATGGGTAGTTAAGTAATACATTTTTTACTGCAATTGTCGTGACCATCTCATACTCATCTATATTCAGCAATACTTATGAATTCACTTAAACATGAAAGAATTACTGAACTCCTATTATGTACCAGNCCTCCAGAGTAGGCCTTGCTAGGGGTTTTTTCAACCAAAGTGATGGGTAGTTAAGTAATACATTTTTTACTGCAATTGTCGTGACCATCTCATACTCATCTATATTCAGCAATACTTATGAATTCACTTAAACATGAAAGAATTACTGAACTCCTATTATGTACCAGACACTATAGCAGACATTGATGGACAAAATTCCTGCTTCCATGGAACATATCAGTTACAAAAACTAATATTAAATAATTAAACTATGAAGAAAAATATACCAGTATAAGAATACAAAGCATGGGGTGGAGACTCTTTTAGGTAATCAAAAAGTGACATTTGAACAAAGGTTTCAATATGATGAGCAAGTCCACATCAGGAAAGGGGCAAAACTGGGGAGAGACAACAGCAAATGTAAACTTAAGTTTGGAGTATAAATTTCTGACTGAATGACCTCTACCCTTCCTTTCATCTATCCCTAGATGAGTGTTCAAGAATATAAACTAATCCACCAAGACAAAGAAGATGAAAACTGCCTTCGTAAATACCGTCAGCAGTGTATGCAGGACATGCACCAAAAGCTGAGTTTTGGACCTAGGTATGGGTTTGTGTACGAGCTGGAAACTGGGGAGCAATTCCTGGAAACCATTGAAAAGGAGCAGAAAATCACCACAATTCTTGTTCACATTTATGAAGATGGCATTAAGGGCTGTGATGCTCTAAACAGTAGCTTAACATGTCTTGCAGTTGAATACCCTATGGTCAAGTTTTGTAAAATAAAAGCTTCTAATACAGGGGCTGGGGACCGCTTTTCCTCAGATGTGCTCCCCACACTGCTCGTCTACAAAGGTGGGGAGCTCATAAGCAATTTTCTGAGTGTTACTGAACAGTTTGCTGAAGAATTTTTTGCTGGGGATGTGGAGTCTTTCCTAAATGAATATGGGTTACTACCTGCAAGAGAGATACATGCCCTAGAGCAGACCAATATGGAAGAAGACACTGAATAAGGATTCACTGTGTCAGCATCTCATATTGCTCCTTTACATGCTGAATGTTGATTTTGGTGGTATCCCCATTTCTTTAGAGAACAGCAAGAATGCTCTATTCTAATTTGGAAAAAAAACAAATTGACACTAAAATTATAGGACTAGCATTCTTTAGTATTAGTTACTCAAATTAATACAATGCTTTACTACAAAACATTGTAATCTTCG